GAGGGGGCGGGGCGGGCGGCCCCTCCTCGGCCGCCGCCCCCTCGCCGCAGCCCGCCGCCCCGCTCCCGGCCAGCGTGGGGGTGGCGCCCGGCTTCGACGCGGCGCTCCAGGTCTCGGCCGCCATCGGCGTCAACTTGCGCCGGTTCCGGGCGGCCTGCGGGGCCGAGGCGGGCAGCGGAGAGGTGAGGCCGGCGGGCGGGCGGGACCCGGCGGGCGGGCGGGCGGGCGGGTGGGGCCGCTCTCCCCGGCCGGGAGCCGCCCTCGTGCAGAGCCGACGCGTCCCCGGCGCTGGAAGGGGCACGCCCCCTCCTCGCCTGCGCCTCCGCCTCCGCCGCGGGAAGGAGCGGCGACGCGCTTCCTCGCGGCTCCGGCCGTGGCCGAGATGCCGCCAGCCCGGTTCCCTCCCTTCCCGCGCGGCCGCACGTGTGGCGGCGGGGGCAGGTGGCGGCCCCTCGGAGTTGATGCCCGCCCAGCGGCGAAACGCCACGGGCCGAACGGTAGCAACGGCCGGGCGGCTCGTCTTCCCTCTTGGCGGCGAATTTGGCGTGGATGGCCCCAGGCAGCTCCCCCCTCCCCAGGCTGTCCAAGGGCGGGCGGGATTTCCTAGCCATTCAAAGGTAGAGGAAAATCCTCCTGAGCTTGAAGCCGAAGTGACAGCCTCCGTCCCGCCGAGGGTCCTCTGCTAAACCAGTGGCGCCCTGGCCCTTCCTCGAATGGGAAATGGTGCACTACCGGCAGTACTTTATCATATGGAAGCCCGGGGACTCTCTTGAGCGCTGCGTTCCTTTTCTCTTTGTTAATCTTGGGTCTTGCAATGTAACATGACAGTCTCCCCCCCCCCCCCATGCATTATTGATGTCTGCCTTTAAAAAACTTCAACTTTTAAAAGTGGCTACAGATTTCAGAGCAGACCAAAGGTTCCCTATTTCCAGTCAGATTCTGTGCTGGGTAAAAAACTACCTAGTCTCTCCCCTCTCCCCCCCCCCCCCCCCATTTCCAGGCTAGCCTTTGAATCCATGTTTCACCTTCCCTGATGCTTGTCATCCAGCGACCAAAGCTTTTGATGCAGAGATGATGATCATGGCACATGCTACTCCCAAACCTACACTTTTAGCCTAGTGTTCACACCAATTGAAATTGTATAGATTTTCAAAGTAATATTTTTTGCTCAATTTCCTTGAAAGTATTATAAGCTCTCTCACTATATTGATGCTACATAATACTAAATGTGCTTTGCCAAAGTCCTTATGAGTACAATCATTTTAAAATTTATATTTGTGCAATCCTCGTTTTTAGATGTTCAGGACAGTGGACTGGGGCTGGTTTAATCCTTCACTGCATGAGCAGTCAGAATGAGAAATAATGCACTAATGTCATTCAAGCCCCTGCCTGTATCACACCTCTCCGTGTTCTGTCAGTATCATTAAATGGGCTTAAACAGCCCATTCTGTGTTCATCAGGAGTCTCGTACATGTAACTCTTGGTCATGACTTACTAAAATGAGGGAAGGAGGCAAAGCTTGGGAACAAAACATATTTTATGCAAGAATACATTTTCACTGCTCAAATTCAACAAAAGTTCATATATACATAGTTAAAAACATCCTATTTGCAGGTATAAACCATCTGAGAAGACTATTGTGAGTGAAGGTCTGAAGGTGCTCTCTGAACTTGGTTGTTTTCTTGCAGATGGTTCATTGCTCAACTAGGTAACATCAGTGCTAGTGAATGTGAGGTTTGTACCTTGTTTATATATCATTGAGAGGTTGTGTTGTAGTCTTTTTGTTTCCTTCCTAGGTTTTGTGTCTTTTGAAAGGTAGGTAAATGTGGTTTATCTTTCTATGTCTATCAATGGCTGATTTGTCTGAATATCAAACTTCTAGGAAGTCCTACTATTTTTGGACTGGATTTACCTAAAACACTATTAGTTTCCCAGTTAAAACTATGGTTGAGCCTGTCCATGTGTGGAGAGATGGAGACATTTTTGTCATGTGTTCTGACTAGTTGGTGTCCATGAGTGTGCTTTGCTAGTCTGAGGATCCTTGATGCTCTTTGAGGTTGGCTGTTTGCTTGCACATGTTTCATTACCCGACTAGACAACATCATCACTTGTAGGGAGCATGAGATTTGCTCCCTATTTATATACATTAGCTTGCCTTTCTATGTTGGTGTGTGTGTGTGTGTGTGTGTGTGTGGTTTTCTCCTTGGTTGATTGAATATTGTTTTCTGCTTCATTGCTTGTTAATTCCTGCTTATCTCAGTGTTGGTAACTGGAGAGGATATTTTCTTCTTAGCTTTTTTATACATGTGATTTATCTCTGTGTGCCTATTGGTGGCTGATTTCTTTGAATGCCAAGCTTCCAGGAATTCTCTAGCATTTTTTTTTATTTAGCTTAGTTTAAGATGTTCACAGTTGAAACTATGGTTGAGTCTGTTAACCATGTTGTATGATAAAGAGTTTTCATGGTGTCTTCTGACTGCTAGTTGGTGTTCATGAATGTGCTCTGGCTGTCTGCCCTGCACAGAAGCTGTAACAACATATTGTAACATGCAATATGTTGTAGATGACTCTGTTTTTTTCTTCTTGGGTCTTTTGGTTTACTTAAGATGTTTCAGAGGGTTTTAGTTAGTGTGTGTGTGTGTTACCATAAAGCTGTGTGGTTATAATAATCTATTGATTGTTCCTGAGATGTTCTTGATGTATTATCCTTTTCATAGCTTTATTGGTTGTCCTGTAGTATAATATCCACAACCAAACACCCAAGTTCAGAGAGCACCAAGGACTCCACCATTCAGCCCTGAGCTACATATATTCACTTCTATTAGATCAGTTCTTGGTTAATGTATTGCACTTGTTGATGGACACAGTTATGGCAAGTTATATTACCCTCCCTCCCCAATATATGTGAACCTTCTCAATCACAAAGCACAAACTTAGGGCATCTGCAGTTGTGAGTTTATTCCTAGCTAGAAGGGCTGCAGTCAATTTGAGGCAGGTTCACAAGTGTGCCTGACCTCTGCAGCAGTAAAAGATCTGTTAAACTCACTTTCAGATACTACTGGCTCCAGAATGTTTCCAAGATGCTTGAAGAATTATACTGTCATTAAACTGAACCGTCCTGTTTAGATCTGTAGAAAATTGCAGAAAAAAGCGGAGCTCCAGCTTCTGTTGTTTTCTTTGGAGCTTTTTGGATGATGAAACGCTTGGATAGGCAGATAGCCCATTTTGGGATTTATTCTATACCGGTAGTTGCAAAATTGTATTTTTTTTTCTAGTTGATGCACTGCTTCTATAGACTTTATAATATGATATTATTATTGTACTGTTATCTTCTTTGAATTATTTAAACAAGGCATGGGACATAAATAGAATTAGTTGGTGAAAGGTTTGATATGTTCAAGATAAGGACTTTGAAGATGATATCCTCCCCAGTGATTTGCTGTGATAATTTTCCTAAACATTTTGTCCACATAATTGCTCATATGCTAATAAATTTCAACATTAAAAGCAGCATCTGGTGGCTCACAGAAACACCTGCTTATCCAATTTTGATAAATGAATTTTATCTTTCTTTTTTATTGCAACTGCATTTCTGGAGAAATTTGTATGACTTACAATATTGATATCATAACATTAAAATGGGTGTCAGTTTCATTGAGGGCCACATCAGGGTTGTGTTTGAGCATGGGGAGCTGGGCCAGGCCAGGCGTGGTCAGAGGGGGCGTGGCCAGCCTGATATCACTTGTGTCGGGGGGGGGGCACCTATGGTGGCCCAAGCACTCTGCCAGCAAAAATGGGCTCCCAAGCTCCGTTTTTGCTGGCAGAGGCACTGTGGGCCTGTCCTTCACTGTTTCCAGGGCGGCCTTGCAGGCCAGATCTAAGCACCCCGCAGGCCAGATCCGGCCCCCAGGCCTTGAGTTTGACACCCCTGCATTAAAACATAAAGTCATCTATTTGTTTTTCTAACTGATGGAATCTAGTTAATACATGAGAAATAATCTTACAGCCACTTTGGTGGTGTAGTTAAACATACTTGGCTAGAAAATGGGGTGTATTACTCTTAAAGTCTGGCAAACTGGCTTGAGCTCCAGAGATGCAAAGTTTGAATCCAGATTTTTGGAATCTTATCTGGAAAACAAAAGTTGGCTAATAAAACTCATGATGTACTACAAGATAAAATAGGTGAAGAATGACTTGTCTTAATGTTTGAGACATTCATTGCTTAAATTGCAATCTGAATCCATATTTAGAGATTACATTAATCCCTTTCTTCACATTGATTCACACCATACCCTGAATTTCTGAACTTCAACTTATAGACTAAGAATGGCCCTAGAATGTCATGGAATGCTTCTGTTACAACCAATCCTCCATGTGTTTAGGTCAACTTTACCGTAGTATGATGCTCTGCTATGGAAGCTGCTTCTTAACCAAGGAGGGATAAGGCAGGCCATGGGAGGTTGGTGCAGTAGTATGGACAGTTCTGCCTAATCCTTTTTGTTTTCTCAGAGGTTTGCATGCTGTATTTGCACGCTGAGGAATCCGACATGCAATGGCCAGTAAAGGTGGCAGTATTTTTTGAGTTTTTACTTTCTGCAGTGAATATAACATTGAAGACAAATTGAGATTCTCTTTGAAGCCTAAGCTATTAGGCAGAGAAGTCTGTTTAGTCTTACTTTTCTTCTCTGCTCTTCGGCTTAGTGGAATTCTGGCTTCTGTCTTGGAAGAAAAAATGAGGGGAAAGGATCCTAATAGTCAGCTGGGGCTTATTTGTGCTGGTATAGAGTCAAAGATGCGATAGCATTTTATTGGCTCTAGAGAAACCCAATGCCAGCAGACATGCTGAAGAAATGCTTTCTTTTTTCTAACTGAGTGTGGTAAATCCTCATGAAGTGCTGACACAATAGGATTCTTGTCTTGGAACTCCTGTTTCTGTGGTAACTTGGACTGCCGTTTCTCGGTATATCTATCTCCAAAATGCTTGTGATGTGTCTGCAAACTACAGCTTTGGCCGTATTCTTTCAAGGACTTTGAGATATGTTCTTTAGTAAATTGATATTTTAAAAAGCACGTGCTTGTGAATACAAATTCAGTCTCACATTTGACAGATTATTCTGTTACACTCATGTCTTTTTTCATTTAAAATAATTTTGAGGTTGTTGGATGCTTATTGAATTGACACCCAAATTTTTCTTCTGGTCATCACATAAGTTTGAGTAGTTTACAATAATAAAATTAGGTGTTAAAGATCAAAATATGAATATAGCATGTCTGTAGTTCAAGTTTAGTTATTAGAGGTCAGTTGTTCTATTTTATATGTTAAAAGTAATAGATTATTATACAAGTAGCCCTCGGCTTATAGTACCACAATTGAGCCCAAAATTTCTGCTGTTAAATGAGACATTGTTAAGTGTGCCCCATTGTATGTCCTTCCTCGTCATAGTTGTGAAATGAATCACTGTAGTTGATAAATCCACAACCTGGTTGTGAAGTGGACATGGCTTCCCCGTTGACTTGGCTTGTCAGGAGGATGCAAAGGGGATCACATGACCCCTCTGGGACACAGCAACGTTCATAAATATGAACCAGTTGCCAAGCATTCGAATTCGGATCCCATGACCATGGGGATGCTGCAAAGGTCGTAACTTTGAAAAATGGCCATAAGTCACATTTTTCAGTGCCGTTGTAACTTTGAACGGTCACTAAATGAACTGTTGTAAGTCAAGGACTACCTGCAGAATTAATTTCACAGCCTGGTGGTATCCTTTTGAGTACTGGGTGCATGAGGGAGCTTTGAGTTTTCCTAATATGTTCAGTGCAGAAGAACACATTTTGTAGTTTCTGCTTGACCTCTGTTCCACGGACCCAAATGATCTGTAAAAGGGATCCTGCTGTATTTTCCTATTAAGCCAGCTGGGTGGAAGGTGCTGACATCTAATGAAGGTTAGGTCTTTCTATATTTACTTTTGCTAATAGAAAGATGTGGGGCTCTGGTCAAATCAGACTGGCACCCTGCGTTCATTATGGGAGCTTCCGCTCAGATCCAGTGGGAGTAAACAGGCAGAAGATAAGCCCCAATACAGGCAGGGTCTTCACTACAGATATTTTCCATGAATCACTAGCAGGGCTAAACCCTGTGGGAAAAAGGGACAACAGAGCGGATTCTGCCACCTTGAGCATACCTCTCTTCAGAAATAGGGCAGCATGTAAAATGCAGCAAAGCAGCCCTTAGAAGATGTTTCAATTATTCAAGTTCCAGGAGGGGATGAAGTAAGAAAAAAATGGACTCCTGATAAAAAAAAAAAAAAGGCTAGGTATTTGACTTCAAAAAACAATGTAAAAGTTGTAGAAGTTGCCCTATTTAAGGGGGGGGGGGACCTTGAAGTTTCCACTGCAATTCTGGGAACATGCTGGGTCACATAAGATCCATGAACCTTCTTTGAGCCAGATCCCCACCTGGAAGCTCTTCAGTACTGAATTAGTTCAGTTAAATTTCCATTGATCTACCGGCAATATACTTGGTTTCCTGACAAAAGTACATATTTTTCATTTTGAGCTAATGTGTTTCTACCTGATTCCTTGTTATAACGAAGAACCCCATAGCATTAATATTCTATTGGGATTGTAAGAATTACCAATGTACCTTCATTAAGATGGAAATATGTTCTCTGATGGATGGAAATTCAGATTATTGAGATGGCTCAACAGACCATTTATGTAGAAATTTTAAAAGGAACAAGCATTCCTGGAATAACACCTTTGTAGATTGGAATAGCATTTGTTCAGTTTGCCAGAGATGTTGCACCTAACTTTCAGTGCTGTATCAGTATGTAATCTACATGTGAGTAGTAACAGGCACTGATCAACTGTAGAGGCAAAAATATAGAATGATCATCTTCAATGTTTTTTCAGTTTTCAGTGTTTCCATCCAAGGGCTAAAAACATTCAGCCCTGCTTAGGTCAGCCAAGGTACCCCATGGCTGTAAGTCTTTAGGCCTCAAACCATACGTTGCAATTATGGAATAAAGTACATTATACCAGGCTTGAAAAATCACAATTTTCATTTTGCACAATTGAGCATTTGGCCTTGGAAAATAAATAAAACATTCAAAAGAAGAAGGCAGTATCTCCAAGTGGCTCAGGTAGATCTAATTGGGGTGGGCAAATGTGAGTGGATGGGCTTTTCTGTTTTTGACATTATTTTTTCCATCCCAGTCTACCACAATCCCTCCCCTCTAATGTTTCTTCTGCCTGGCTGTAAAAAGATATATATCTACGGGGGAGAGATAAGAGGGATGAAGCACATTCTCCATGGGACCAGCCAACACCGTGACCAGTTTCAGTGGACGTTTTTAAAATATTTGAATTGTGGCACAAGCCCTGTTTTTATTTTTTTAATCTGTGTATTTATTTATTCTTTTTATTACTTTTAAAATAGTGACAAAGAGAGTAATCAAGAAGCCCCTTTTTTCATAAAGTCACACCTGAATTTGGGGCTTTCCGAAGACCTTCAAGTCCTTAGCTGGCCTTGGCTTCCAAACCTCTTGGGGTTGCTCCCGGGACAGAATCCCCAGGGTGGCAGTTTCGGGAGGTGGGGCAGTGCCGGTGGGAAGGCCTGGGGAAGGAGCGAGAGGCAAAGGGAGCCCAGGGCTGGAAGGAGCCAAGTTGGCTGTGCTCCTGGATATCCGCTGTGTTGACATCCTTGGTGGTTACGTCATGGTGCAGCAAATCCCAAGGGAAAGAGTGCTCTCGGCTTGTTGACGGTCAGGCTGGGAGGGAAAGTGGAAAGCAGGGGAGCTTGGAGGCCTAAATCCTGGGGCTGAATAGCTGAGGTGTTGGGACTCTCAGGCTGCTGGGACCTGCTCTGCTCTGCACCTCCCTCCCTCTTTGATCCAGCTGTGCCCCACAAAAGGAGCGCAGAGTCCCAGACTCAAAGGGTGTTGAAGTGCTGGAGGATTTGCAGCCTTTGATCTTCAGAAGCTCTAGTTTCTTTGAGAAATGCTTCGACTGATAAAGTTTGGCTTCCTGGGAAGAGAGCAAGCTTTGGAGAGATGAAGTTTGGGCGGCTTGACTAAACCTCGCTGCTTCCTTGCCTGCTTAGACCCTGTTGCCCGCATGCTAGTTAGAGATGTGCAGGCTCTGCCAGCTTGCCAGAATCTCTGCCCATCCTCAGCCAAAGATTGTTTACTTCTTGCAGGGAGACCCACGTGGGCAAGGGGAGGGGCTGGCAGAGCTGGGCTCTGGAGTGCTGTGTGCAGAAGTGGCTTTCCCGGCATTCCAGAGACAAGAGGAGCGGAGCTGGGAGCATGAGGCCGCTTCCTTCCCGCCTGGCCTGCACTCCTTCTTTCTCTCCCTCACACACAGAGATAAATCCCGCCAGGCTGACCGTGCCCTTTAATGCCCCAAATCCATCTCTTGATTTCTCTGCAGCGAGGGCCCAAATGTCACTTCTCAGAGTGGGGAGGGGGTCCCGGAAGTGCAGGAGCTGAGGCAGGACTGGTATTCCTTAAGAGAGGATGAAAGTGAGAAGCAAAGCCTGTGGTTCCTGGCACAGCAGGAGCAAAACTGAAGCTCTTGCACAAAGGAGGCTGCTATGCCTGTGAAGTGTAGCAGCCTCTGCTGCAGAGAAACCCTGGGCCAGCGCCAGCCACTTCTAGTTCTAGAAAGCTGGAAAACATGGCTCCACATGGGCTCCCATGACAGGGGCAGCACGAAGGAGGGAGCGCATAGTTGGTGACCTTTCAGCTTCAAACTGAGCTGAACTACTCGCCATGTAGGAGCCCCTCACATTGGTGGCTGCCGTTGCCTCTGCCCTAAACCCAGACTGCTTCTCCTTAACATGGAGGTTCTCTTTAGTCCTACGGGCTGAAACCCATTGAGATTTTTTCCTCTCTGGTGCAATTAATGGAGCTAGCTGTTTGGGTAGATGTTGCAAATCATTGCTGTGAAGACGGCCTTCTATTTATACGTTCCAAAGCAGCAGTTTTTAAAGAGGTGGCTTCCCTTTGTAACCTCCTGCAAAAAAAAGTTTTCTTCTGGAGGGTAATCTTAAGGTGCTTGATTTTCTGCAGGCAATCAGGGAAATTCCATAGTCCAAGGCAGGTCCAAGCTGGTTTTGGGGCTTTATGAAATGCATTTCCCTGGTGGCCTCTCTTCCAGCAGACGCCATATAAATAAAATAGGTGGTTAATGAATTTCGACCCCCACTGTTTGAGAACAGGCAATTGTCAGTGTTGTTGATTTTTCTCAACTATATTTTCTTTTCACTATACTTTTACTTAAACCATCTCCCTCCCTTTTTCTGCAGGATGAGCAATTTCTAGGTTTTGGCTCAGATGATGAGGCCAAAGGAACCAATTCTCCCAAGTCCCTTGCAGGTAAAACCAACCTACTGCAATCCGAACCATATTCAATGGGATTTGCTTTAAGGGAGCTTAGATGTGGCTGATCTAAAGAATGTTTATTGAGTGGCGAAACCTGAAATTTGTATTTGATGGCTTCATATAATACTCTAAGCCAAATCTTTTTTTCAATAAGAAGTTGCTAAACCGAGGCACAGCAGCTATTGGTTTCACTAGTTTTATTAAGGCCGTCCAACTCCAAGAAAACACTTGGTAGCATACAAGAAGTCCAATAATATATTAAAACACAACTAAAAGCCACATTGCTGCCCAGATCAAAACAACACTCCCCACCATGCAAGTAAATTCAACAAGGCCACACAATATGGTATCCTATAAATCATGACTTGGAAAACATAGCTGCACAAATACACTTAAATCATTAATGGCTCAATCAGATTCTTATATTATCACATGAATGGAATCAAAAATCACTATTTGGGGAATACAGATTCTCTACTCCATTTTTACATCATAGAGTGTACGGTGTGTCTTGGCTGCAGCAGTTGTCCTTTTCTAAAAATGAGTTTTCTGCTGCCAGGTCTGGGAATCACAGGAAAATATTTTAGTGGCTTTTTCCAGCCCCCCCCCCCCCCAAAGATTAGGCTAAGATTCATTAACTGGGTTTATAATGGGTAAAATGTTCCTGTGACACAATTGCCTGAATGATATGACTTAGTCTGTTAGGGCTCTTTTGGAAGTTCATTGATTCTTTTAAGCATTCCCACCATATATTATGTTTTTCCCATTGATTCTGCCCTAGCAATTATGTATATTTCAAATACCCAACAATAAAAATGCTGTCCATTATTTAAAGCCTGCTTTGAATGTCCTGATGAAAAAAAAAATGAAATTTAAATTCAGATACGTGGTTACTGTCTTGACCATCAGCTAGTGAAAGTAGCAGGGGATTATTAAATTCCCTTGCTGCTGAGCTCCTAAGGCTTTTGATAATCCAACAGGAAAAGATCCAGGATGGCTTCTCCTGTTCCAAGTCCAGCCATTGTAGATTTGTGACCCTTCCCTTTCCCTTTCCTTCCTTTCCCTTCCCTTCCCCTCCCTTCCTTTCCTTTCACTTCCCTTCCTTTCCCTTCCCTTCCCTTCCTTTCCCTTCCTTTCCTTTCCTTTCCTTTCCTTTCCTTTCC